TTTCTGCATCTCTCTGAGAACATGACAATATGGGATGAGAACATCATGATACTCCTGTTGACAGTCAATTCATGTTCTGAAGCTGATCTACCTTGTCAACCATCAAAAGTACACTTAGCAGAGAGACCTCAGCTGATTCCAGCCTAAATTACTGACCAGATCATGAGTTTATAAATGTAGAGTTCCTTGTTATCCAGGGTTAGGTAATTATTATTTCCATGATAGGCAAGATGCTGGAATCCAGTGACATCTTGCTCTCAGGCTTCCTGGTAAATAGTGGGTACCTTACAGTTACTGATTTATTTTTCCTCTTATTGAAGCTGTATTTCTTAGATGTGTTATATGGTAACTATATAGATACAGATTTACATGATTTCTGTTTAAATTCTGTTAAAACTCCACCACACACCACAGAAGGAAACAGACATCTACAGCTTGATTGCTAAGCTGGAGACACATTAGCAATCTAGAAAGTCTGGTGGAGATTGGACTCAACAGTGTGTAGGAATCTGTGATTCACATTTGAAACTTCCTTGGTTGCAGCCCCTTGAGTGCACTCAAGCTCTCTTTTTGGGGTATAAGGAGTTTATTAGAAAAGTTACTAGTGCCATAGACAGACAGAAGCAACAGCATGACAGGGTCTTTGAAAAGTTAGCTTACCACCACCACCACAAAGCACTGGATTCCCTCTCCTTAAGTTTTAGAAAGAATATCATTAGGAATTATTTTTTTCTCACATCTGTCATATCACACTCTTCTACTTACTAAAGCAGATTCAGGCTTTATTTGCTAGTGATGACATCTTTTGGGGATACTGAAACTTAGAATTTCTGACTTGTTTATTATGCTACATGTAGTCAATTACAATATCTTTTTAGGATTTCCTAGATAAAATTTATTTTATTTATTACTTTCTTCTCATAGTTTCTCTTATTTTCCTGCTTTCATTGTAATTTAAAATTTTAGAACCTTAATTTTAGTATTTTTAGATTTTTAGCTGGTTTCTATGATTCTGTTCATTCTCTTGCCCTTTTTTTTTTTATTAAGCCTTAAGTGATTTTTTTTCATGAGCTTGCTATATTTTATATTTTAAAGAATAAATTTATACCTTTCACAAACTTTATTTAATTCCTTAAAATTTAAAACTTCTTAGCCAGACGTGGTGGTGCACACCATTAATTCCAGCAGTTGGGAGGCTGAGACAGGCAGATCTCTGAGTTTGAGGCCAGCCTGATCTATAAAGTGAGTTCCAAAGCAGCTAGGGCTATGCAGAGAAATTCTGTTTTGAAAAACTAAAACAAAATTGTGGTGGATAATTTAAAAGTATGGTCTAATAATATTTATTATTAGCCCTATAATTATTACGGCAGTATTATCTAACCCGTTATTACAGTCAATAAAAGATATTGATACCAACAGAGATACCTGATAGAATTTAGAATAGCCTTATTTCACTTGGGGCATGGCTGATACTACCTCCTAAGCACCATTACCTGCCAGGCCCTTATTGTCTGTCTAATATTTTCTGTCAGGGCTACCTTCCATCCATAATCTCAAAATACTTGCTAATATTCTTCATCTGGGCTGCTTTCCTCAATCCATGCCTATCGGGCCATGTGCTCCTCTCCATGCTATTTCACTGTGGCTTTTCTTCCTTCTTTTAGTACCTTTCCTTCCCAAGATCCTCCTTCCCTCCAAGCCCTCTAACTTTGACCACACCTACCCTACTCTACCCTGCCCCGGTGTGTAGGCATTTATTCAGACAATCAGGAATAATTGGGGAACATTTCTTATCATCACATGGTTACTGGAGATAGTTCAACATTATACAATACCCAAGGCAGGGCAGTAACCAGATCTCAAGGTACTGAAATCAGCATTTGAAAACATAGTTGGTACCTTCCTTCAATACAACATTTAACACATCATTTTTCCCTTTTAAAAAAATATTTGCTTATTTATCTATGTGTGTGTGTACCTGAGTATATGTGTGTGCATATATATGAAGTGCCCACAGAGGTTAGAGGAGACCATCGGATTCCCTGGAACTGGAGTTACACACTAATATGTGTGCTGGGAATTGAACCTTCAAGAGCAATAAATACTCTTAACTACTGAGCCACCTGCAGCCCCTTGTTCTTTAATGTCATGTACAATATATTTATGGAATGCTGGTTGAAGTAATAACATTTCAGTAAACAATAACTGCTTCCATAATAGATTCTCAGTAAAAGAAAGTTATAATGATGAATAAGACAGTTTCTGGTCTTTGGAGCTTGTATGGTTCCCAGGGGAGTAGATAATAAAATTTAAAATAGTATTAATGAAAAATAATAAAGCAGTATGAGATATGGAAATAAGAAGGTAGGCTTCTCTGAGAGTACTGACCTTTGGGTATAAAGCTAAATGAACTGAAGGAGGGTGATACGAAGATCAAAAAGAAGAAAAACCCCAGAGGGATAAAATGCTGAATAGTCCTGAGGTTATAGTCAGGCATGATGGACACTGCTGTAATCCCAGCACTCAGGAGGCAGAGGCAGGCAGATCTCTGTGAGTTTGAGGCCAGCCTGGCCTCTAGTGTGAGTTCCAGGACAGACTAAAAAAATTAAAATTAAATAAATTTTGAAATAGTAATAATAATAATAAAGTCCTGAGGTTAGGAATGGGTAATGGTTCAAGTAGTAAACCAGCATATCTAAAGTGACTGTAGGAAGGGATATAGGACAACATAAGAACAAATCTCATAGGCCTTTTATGTAAACCATCATAAGGATTTGAATTAATTCTGAATATAGAGGGAAGCCATTAGAAAGTTCTCATTTGGGGAAAGAAATTACATAGGAGACTATGAATTTTTAAATGATTTTTAAAAGTCATTACATTTAGTGTCTGTGTGTGTTTGTGTGTGTGTTTAGATGTTTAGATATACACATGTGGAGGTCAGAGAACAACTTTTGGAAGTTAGTTCTCTCCTACTGTATGGTTATGGGTATTGAACTCAGGATGTCAGGCTTAGCAGCAAGTGCTTTTACCCGCTGAACTATCTCATTTACCTTTTTTTTTTTTTTTTTTTAAGCAGTTAATAGCCAAATGTAACAGCTCAGCCATTGGAGTGGTAGACTAAGAAGATTACAAGTTCAAGGCCATCCTGCCCTACCTAGCAAAAACCCTGTTCTGAAAAGTAAATTTATAAATAAAACATACTGATGGGACAAAGGTATAAGAAGAAAGACAAGGGAGGGGCTACAGCTGGGATACTAAGTGAATAAATTGTAATTAATAATAATAATAATAATAATAATAATAATAAAATAAAAAAGGATGAAAGTATCTTTTGATAATAGATGTAAATACACTTAGAATCTGAAAGAACATTAAAAAGATTGCATGTCAAATGAGATTTAGTCTAGAAATGCATATGGAAATAATGTAATATGTCTCAATAATATCAAAGGGAAAAACACTTATGCAGATTGATTTTAAAAATGCTTTTGCAGGGGTTGGGGACTAAAGCTCAGTGGTAGAATGTATGCTTAATCTGTACAAACTATGGCTATGTTTTCCTGTATCAGAAAAATGTATCCTTGTTTTTTTTTTTTTTTCTTTTAAGATTTATTTATTTATTATGTGTACAGTGTTTTGTCTGCATGTATGCCTACAGGCGAGAAGAGGGCACCTGATCTCATTATAGATAGTTATGAGCCACCATGTGGTTACTGGGAATTGAACTCAGGATCTTTAGAAGAGCAGCCAGTGTTCTTAGTCTCTGAGCCATTTCTCCAGCTCCCATGTATCCTTGTTTTTAGTTACATGAATACATGTAGTCTTTTGTCTCTGTGTATGTTTGTGTGTGCACATTTGTTTGGAGGCTAGAAGACCACCATGGGTGTTGTTACTTAGGTGCCATATATCTTGGTTTTAAGACAGATCTGCTTGCCTCTGGTTCTTGAGTGCTGGGATTAAAGGCATGTACTATGATGCTGGCATTTGGAGGCTTCAGAGCAAAAAATTTGAGACAGGGTCTCTCAGTGAATACAGGCTGGTCTTGAATTTATGTAGACCACCAAATGGGCCTTTAGACTCATGATCCACCAGCCTTAGTCTGCTGAGTCCTAGCTTGGCTTTTCAAAATTTTTGATGATTCAGGTGTTTGTCTGTCCTTGCAATTTTCCCCACCTTCACATTCCTTTGTAATGTGTTTCAGTGTTTAAATCTCTCTACTTTAAAAGCATGGGAGCTTAGTGGGCATGGTGGCACACACCTTTAATCCCAGCACTCAGGAATGGAAAGCAGTTGGAGCTCTGTGAGTTCAAGGCCAACCTGGTCTACAAAGCAAGGGCAGAACAGGGGTCAAGGGCCAGGGCTTGTTTATACATTGAAACCCTGTCTTAGAAAACAGCAAACAAACAAATGGGAACCAGAGTGATGACTTGGCAATTAAGAGAGTGCAAACTGCTCTTTCTGAGGATCTAGGTTTGATTCCCAGCATGCACGAGGTGGCTAACAGCTATCTGTAACTCTAGTCCTAGGGAATACAGTGCCATCTTGTTCTCTGAAGGCACCAGGCACACAAGTGGTACACAGGCATACATGCAAGCAAAACCCTCATGTACTTAGAAGAAAAATATTTTTAAAAAGAAAAAAAATGGAGGGCTTTTTATGGGTTACTTTTTTTTTTACTGACAGTATATTTATTGATCACGTCATGCACCCTGATCATGCTTGCTTCCCAGTCCTCCCATGTCTGATCACCCTCACTTTTGGCCTCATTCCTCCTTTCCCCCCCAAAAAAAAGAAAGAAAAAAGAAGTCCGTTTTGTGTTGTTAATATGTCACTGGAACGTGGTCAAACTCTCATGGGTTACTTTTTATTGTTTTTTTTTTTGTAATAATACTTTTATATACAATAGTATGTGATGCAAATATAGTAGACTTGTAAGCTTATTTTTAAATGCATGGATAATAAAAGTGTACTTTTTTGTATTTCCTCTTCTCATTTAGCTCCTGGGCTATAGTGAAAAGCCAATAAATCTGCAGATGTTTATTGGAACAGCTGATGATCGGTATTTACGACCTCATGCATTTTACCAGGTGCATCGAATTACTGGAAAGACAGTTGCAACTGCAAGTCAAGAGATAATAATTGCCAGCACAAAAGTTCTGGAAATTCCACTTCTACCTGAAAATAATATGTCAGCCAGGTATCTTTAGGGTTTGGGATTCTTTTTCTTTCCCCTTTTTTTTTTTTTTTTTTTTTTTTTTTGAGACAGGGTCTCATTGTGTATCTCTGGCTGTGCTGGAGCTTTGTAGACCAGGTTGGCCTGAACTCACAGGTCCACCTACCTCTGCCTTCAGTCAGGTATCTTAAAACCTTTCTTAAAATGAGCTAGCTCAAGGCTGGAGAGCTTGCTCAGTGGTTAAGGGCACTGTCTGCTCCTCCAGAGGTCCTATGTTCAATTCCCAGCAACCACATGACAGCTCACAACCATCTTTAATGTGGTCTGATGTCCTCTTTTGGTGTCCATATATATATGCGGATAGAGCACTCATATACATAAAATAAATAAATAAATCTTTTTAAAAAAAAGATTTTAAAAAATCCCATATTCTTCTGGAGAACTAGAGTGAGTACTAGAGTTTAGTTCTCGGCCCCCACATCAGGGAGCCAGCAACTGCTTATAATTCCAGCTCCCAGTAATCTGATGCCCATAGCCATCACAGGTACTTACACTCGTGTGCATGAACACATTCACACATACAATAAGAATAAAACTTTGGCGCCGTATGCCCTTCCAAAGGACCCAGGTTCAATTCCGAGCCCCCATATGGCAGCTCACAACTGTCAGTAATGCTGATTCCAAGGGATCTGACACCTTCACACTAATGCACATAAAATAAAAAATTAAATTAATTATTTAAAAAAATAATTACTTTTGAAAAATGTAAATTAAAGAAAAAAATCAGTTTTGTTTTTTTTTTTTTTTTTTTGAAACAATTCTCAGAAAAATACATGGTTTGTTTGATTTTGGTTTTAGTTAAGTATAAAATACTCATTGTTTAAAGTTAACTGATTAACATAAGTAATTCTGACAATTTTGTTTAGGAGAGCAGTAGGTTTCATATTTCCAGAAAGAAAGCTGGTGGCTTTTGCCTGTAATCCCAGAGCTTGGGAGATAGAGGCAGGAACAACAGGAGTTCAGGGTAATCCTCAACCATGTGGTGAGTTAGAAGACAGCTTGAGCTATATAAGACCCTATCTCAAAACTGGGAACAGTGGCCAGTCATGGTGGCTCATGCCTTTAAAATAGTCTCAGCACTCCAGAGGCAGAGGCAGATGGATTTCTTTGAGGCTAACATTTTCAGTTCCAGGCCAGCCAAGGCTACATAGTGAGATCCTGCCTCAAAAACAAACACATGACCTAGGGAACAAACAACAACAACAAAAGTACAGAACAAGATAGTTTACATATATGATGCCAGTGCTTTTTTTTTCTTCCCTACTTGTAACTTCGTCCTGTCTTAAAAATAGGGTGAATGTTAATTTGTCAGTGTTACACCCTGATTAAAAATAAAGGTTAATTTGTTAGTATTATATCTGTAATCCTAGCACTTAGAAGTCTAAGTCAGGACAACTTCTGAGTTTGAGGTCATTTGGGCCACAAAGTGAGACTGTATTGTTGTTGATTATTAATATTTATTATTGATTTATCTTTTAGTTAAACTGGTTGTTCTTAAACCAGCTGTATACCCAAATCACCACACAGAGCCTAGGATTTATTTAATTAACCTAGAGCACAATGTTGGGCAATAGTTTCTCCATCCTAAACCTCCAAGCCAGCATAATTTCCTCCCCTTCAGATTTCCCACATTATACTTGCTTTTAGTCATATCTTAGGTCCAGTTCATCTCTCCTGGTGATTCTAAGCCCTCTCCTCCTAATCTCTCATCTCCGACTCTACCCACTCACTTCATCCTCCTCCTCTCCAAACCAGGATGTCCCAACCTATTCTCTTCATTGCTCAGCATTGGCTGGTTGTTTTATTGAAAATACAAAGAACAAATGGTGTCATGTTTAGACAAACTTGACACAAGTGATGCCTAGAATAAACATCACAATGCAATGTCCAGATGGAAACCAGATAGTCGAATAGAGAAATAAGCATTTGAATGAATAAGGATAAATTGTGTATATTCCACAAGAACATTATACCAACACCCTATCTCAAAAAACAATACGAGGTCATTTCAAATAAAATTTAGTGTGTATTTTCATTGCTAAATATGAGTGGTTTTGGAGGTTTATATGTTTTGTTTTTGTGTTTTGCATTTCTTAGTTTTAAAGATCATACATAAATTTTTGTTTTTTAAATCAGAATCATACATATATTTTTGATTCTTTAATCTTTTAAATAACTTAACTTTAAAACATTTTTTGAGATTTATTTTTATTATGAGCATGGATGTTTTGCCTGTATGTGTATCCATGCATCGTGTGCGTGCCTGTTGCCAAAGGACACAAAAAATGGCGCTCAGATCCCTGTAGCTAGAGTTATAGATGGTTGTGAGCTGCCAGGTGTTTGTTGGGGATTGAACATGGGTGCTTTGGAAGAGCAGTCAGTACTCTTAACTGCTCAGACATCTCTCCAGCCCAGTTTCTTTATTTTATTTATTTAAAAAATTCTTTTTAAGATTTATCTTCTATGTGCATGAATGTTTTGCTCAAATGAATCTATTTACTTTTATTTTTTATATGTGTATATTTTCTTCTATGTGTATATGTGTGTGCTGAGTGTATGTATGTGTACCATGTACATGTAGTGCCCGAGGAAATCAGAAGACAGTGTCAGATCCCCTGGAACTAGCATTACAAACCATTGTGAACTGCCTGGTTCAGGTACTAGGAACCAAACTTGTGTCCTCTGCATGAACAGTACTATCCTCATAAGCACTGAGCCGTCTTTACAGCCCCTTATTTTTGTTTGTAGGCCTAGGTAGCCTTTGAATTAAGGCAGTCCTCATGCCTCTGTCTTCCAAGTATTGAGATTATTGGAATGTGCTATCACACCTACCTCAAATATTTGTTATTGATCTAATTTGGGGTACAGAGTTCTTTTTGGAAATTTTTTTGTTGTTTGGTTTTGAGTCTCTTATAGCCCATTTTGGTCTTGAACTTGCTATGTAGCTGAGGCTGACTTAGAACTCCTGATCCTCCTTCCTCTCTACCTCTCAAGTGCTAGGATTACAGGTATACATCACCTGCAAATTGGCAGTGAGTATCTATGCCATTGAGTTGTTTAGAACCAGTTTCTGAATAATGGAATTTAAAATGTATTTTTTTTTTTTCTAGTATTGACTGTGCAGGTATTTTGAAACTCCGCAATTCAGATATAGAACTTCGAAAAGGAGAAACTGATATTGGCAGAAAGAATACTAGAGTACGACTTGTATTTCGTGTGCACATCCCACAGCCCAGCGGAAAAGTCCTTTCTCTACAGATAGCATCTATTCCTGTTGAGTGCTGTAAGTGAGCTTGCAATATGTTTTAAGATTTTGATGTAAGTTTTGTGTGTTTTGATTAAAATGGGATAGTTATTAAAATACAGACTGAGATTTTTAAAAATAATTTATTTTTACTTTTATGTGCTTTTTTTTTTCACCTGTATGTATGTCTGTGTAAGGGTGATAGATCTTGGAGTTACAGACAGTTGTAAATTGCCATGTGGGTGCTGGGAGTTGAACCCAGGTCCTCTGGAAGAAAGGTCAGTGCTCTTAACCACTGAGCCATCCCTCTAGCCCCCAGACTGAGATATTGAGTCTGAGGTGCTGGTTAGCTTTTTGGACATAAAAATAAGCTAACAAGGTGAGAAGAGTGCTAATTTTAGGTTACAAAATATCTTCTGACTGTAGTTTGATTCTAGGTAGCTGTGTGACTATAGAGAAAATCTTTTCCTCTTCTGCCTCCCTCTCTCCTTGTCTCCAATGTACATTTCTTTTATCTCCTGCCTTAAGCCTATGTGTTGGGATCGAGTATAGGTGTGTGCCACCTTTTCTAGCTATAAATGAAGCATCTGACAGTCCTGTCGTAAGCTATGATCTTGATGCTTTTAGTTGTCACTTTATTTATCTTTGTTTTACTCAAATGTAGCCTTCATATAATAGAATTCTCTTTTGCAAGCTTATCCCTCAGCTAAATAAGAATTAAGGGTTTTGATTGCTTGGTTGGTTGGAGACAAGGTCTCACAGCATAATGCTGCCTGGCCTAGAATTCTCTTTGTAGATAAGCTGGCCTTGAATTCACAGACACCCACTTGCTTCTGCACTTGGGAGGCAGAGGCAGGTGGATCTCTGAGTTTAAGGCCAGCATGGTCTGCAAAGTGAGTTCCAGGAAAGCCAGGGCAATACAGAGAAACGCTCTCTTGAAAAACCAAAAAAAGAAAAAAAGAAAATCAGATTATGTTCCTCAAACATAGAAGGTAGAAAAATGTAGTCATTTTAGAAAGCACAGCTGATTTTAGAAGTTAAACAGTAAAATGTGTTTTGTTATACTTTAGTTATTTTAAAAGATTGTCTGCCATGGAATCCTAATGATGATGATCCTTGAAAAAAGGATTGCTTGTTCTGTAGTAGTTCTTTATATGCTTGTCTTCTCTTAATTGCTCATAGTATAATTACATATTTTTGGACTTGATTTTTGTAATTAGATTTGTAAATTTTAAGTTCTGTAGATGATGTATGCTCAAGAGTTAAATTAAAAATAAAATATTAGGTAATATGGGAGCCAGTACATTAGTTAAAAACATTTTCTCTTTATTTATCAGGGTTTTTTTTTTGTTTTTGTTTTTTTGGCAGTTGTAGTCTAAAATAATTTCATACCAATTTAATGTAACTTGTTTCTAAACATCTTATCTCTTTTAATAAGAATTATTACTGTTGTCTTGATTTTTTTAAAAGCCTAAATGAATTAATCCCAATGTTTATTTGATAGTTTGAGCTTATCTTGTATGTGTGAAATATTTTAAAATAGTATTTTATTTTTCTTAACTCTTAAAAACAGCTCAGCGATCTGCTCAAGAGCTCCCTCATATTGAGAAGTACAGTATCAACAGTTGCTCTGTCAATGGAGGCCAGGAAATGATTGTGACAGGATCTAATTTTCTTCCAGAATCTAAAATAATTTTCCTTGAAAAAGGACAAGGTAAATAATATAAAATATAAATTTACTTCAGTGTATGTGATAAAAGAAGGAAATAAATTATGTAGATATTTCAGGCATGTTAATCACCAAATAGTTTTCCTAAAGCTATAGTCATCATCTAAGCCCTGGGTTTTATTGGAAACTTACAGTTATTAAATGTACATATAAATGTTAAATTCTCTTTAATGGCATATTAAAAATGATTCATTGAGTATTTCTTCTTGTAGTATTTGCTACTTTGTGGTTTTTTGTTTTTGTTTTTTGTTTTTTTTCTCCTACCCTTTTAATTCCCTAATGCTAGATAGGAGAGAAAAGTTACGTTATCATTAGAGTACCTCTTGCTGATTAGGGTCATTGAGCTCCTTGGGGCAGGGTTGCTCTTTGCCATCAGAATATCTGATTTCTTCTTGTTTCTTCATTGCACATGACTAATTAACAAACTGCATCAAACTACCAACCAGCAACCCACCTATGGGGGGCTCTAGCATTTATATACCCTCTGAAAAGTCCCCAGAATTCCACAAGCACACAGTCGCAGAAACATCTGCAGCTGGCAGAATCACACCTCTGCTAGAGCACGAGACTAATCATAGTCAGCTGTTTCGAAGCAGCCTCATATCCCTATACCTGGGATTAACACAAAAATATATTCCCATAATACGTGTGTGTTTTTTGAAGAAACAAAAATTTTCACTACATTTACTCCTTGATACACACTCAGGAAACCTGGAAACATATGTCCACACAAAAGCTGAGTTACAAATGTTTATGGGAGCATTGTTGATAGTAGCTCCAAAATGGAAAGAACTAAATCCTTACCAACTGAAGAGCAGAGAAAAACAATGTGCTATATTCACACTGCTCTAATTTCATCTCTGTTGCTTTGATAAAATACCCAGACATTCAGGTGACAAAGGAATTTTTGGTTTATAATTCCAGGTTATGACTTCTTGTGGGAAGTAAAGGCAGGAGCTTGAAGCAGCTAGTCACACCAACATTTCAAGATAATACCTCATAGTCATGCCTGCAGGCCAACCTGATCTAGAAAGTCCCTCATTGAGACTCTTCCCAAGTGATTCCAGATTGTGTCAGGTTGACAATTAAAATCCTCATACATTAGTAGACTATTATTTAGCCATAAAAAAGGAAGTACTACTAATGTGTTGCAACATGAATAAGTATTGAAGATATTAAAAGAAGACATGAAACACATAGAATAAACAATTCACAGCGGTAGGAAGTTAAGTGTTTGACAGTTGATTGATGTCAGTGGAAGTAAGTAGGGATGATAAAAAATGGTCTGGAATTAGTAGTTGGTTGTGCAACTCTCTGAATATCCTAAGTAATTTGCATACTTTAAAGGGATGAAACTTTAAGGCATAGTTGAAATACTTTTGTTTGTTGTTTCCAAAACAGGGTTTCTCTGTGTAGCCATGGCTGCTCTGGAACAAGCTGGCCTCAAACTCGGAGATCACCTTACTTCTGCCTCTTAAGTGCTAGAATTAAGGCTTGTGTCACCACCACCAATGACTTGACCTTAAATTCAGTCCTTAAACTCCTGATCCTTCTACCCTCACCTCTCAACTGCTGGCATAGCAGTCATCTGCTCCCACATTGGGTCTCTTGGTTTTCTTTAGTTTTATTTATTTATTTAGTTTTATTTTTCTTTTTTATGTTTGTATGTGTGTATATGTTTTGAAGGTATATGTGTTTGTTTTGTGCATGTTTGTAGAGACCAGGGATCAACATCAGTTGTCTCTTCAATTATTTTCTAATTTTTTTTTTTTTTTCTGTGTAGCCTTGGCTGTTCTGGACTTGCTTTGTAGATCAGGCTGACCTCAAAACTCAGAGATCCGCCTACTTCTGCCTCTCTGAGTGTTGGGATCACAGGCATGTACCACTGCCCCTGGCTTGTTTTCTAATGTTTTAGGGAGAAGAGAGAGAATAGTTTCTTGCTGGCTAACTGTTAACCTAGGCAGCCTGATGTTATTCTTCCATTATTTTTCATTGCTACAGTTTCTTTCTTTTTGCTAATTGGAAGTTGAGAAAAACGTTCTCTCTGCCAATAATATGTGATACTAAATAGATTAGATTTTCTGTTTTCAATCTTGAATTGCTTTTAACTGTAATTTTTTTTTTTTCAATAGATGGAAGACCTCATTGGGAGGCTGAAGGGAAAATAATCAGAGAAAAATGTCAAGGGGTAAGAAATTCACCTTAATTATTTAAGAAATAAGTATTTAAGAGGTTCTGGAGAAATGGCACAGTGGTTAGGCTCTCTTGCAGAGAGCCTGGGTTCAGTTCCTAGTACTCACATGGTGGTTAACAACCATCTGTAAACTGCAGTTCCAGATCTTCATATCTGATCTCCTGAGACACCAGGCACATACATGGTACATATACATATATGCAGGCAAACACTAAACACATAAAATTAAAAGAAAATTCTTAAAGAAAAAAATTTATAGAAGAAGTAGTATTTAAGGCCAGACGTAGTATTAAGGCCAGACATGGTTTTAATCCCAGAATTTGGGAGTTGGAAGTTGGTACATGTCTGTGAGTTGAAGGCCAGCCTAGTCTTTGTAGTGAGAACCTGTCCTCCCCCAAAAGAAAAATGTGTTTAAGAAACTTAGAAGGAAATGGAATAATCCATTGATACTTCTCTGGTATTCAGATTCAAGTTTAAGAAAAATAAATAAACCAGACAGTGGTGACACTTGCCTTTAATCCCAGCACTTGTGAGACAGGCAGGCAGATGCCTGAGTTCGAGGCCAGCTGGTCTACAGAGCTATTTTTAGGCTGGCTAGGGCTGCATAGAGAAACCTTGTCTTGAAGAAAAAAGAAAAGAAAAACAATTGATATTTTCTCTTCTGTATGAAAAAGTAAAAAACTGGAAATGAAAGATTAGAAATGGAAGGACTTTCATAATAAAAATGTCACCGAGCTGAGTGATTGGCCCCAACGTGTTTATTCCCAATAGAAGCAGCTGAATCTCTGGGTTATAGGCTAGCTTGTTCTACATAGAGAAGTCTAGGCCAGTCAGGTCTACTTAGTGAGACTCTGTCTTAAAACAAACAAACAAGTAAAGAATATGTGTATAGTATGATAGTTGTGGTGATACTAGCCTGTAACTACAGCACTCAGAGGGCCGGTGAGGAGGATGTTAAGTCTGAGGCTATCTGAGTCCAAGGCTAACAGCATGTTCTTCCCAGCCCCACAAAGCAACTGTGCTGGCTGAAGTCACTGGAATAGAGGGAGTCTCAGTTGAGAAAATGTTTCCATAAGATTGGAGTGTAGCCAAGCCTGTGGGCATTTTCTTAATAAGTAATTCATGTAGGAGAATCCTACTTATTATGGATGGGGCCACCCCTGGACAGTTGGTTCTGGATTCTATAAGAAAGAAGGCTGAATAAACCATGGTGAACTAGCCGGTAAACAGGTCCATGACTTCTGTGACAGCTCTTGCTTCCAGGTTCCTGCCCTGTTTTGAGTTTCTATCCTGACTTTCTTTCATGATGACAGTAATATGGAAGAGTAAGCCAAATAAACCCTTTCCTTCCCAAGTTGCTTTGGTCATGGTGTTTCATCACAGCAATAGTAACCCTAACTAGGACAGTGACCATACTTCTTTTTGAGTAGTTACTGGCCTTTTTTTTTTTTTTTTTTTTTTTAATAAACACCAATTTAGCTGGGTGTGGTGGTGCACACCTTTAATCCCAGCACTCAGGGAGGCAGAAGCAGGTGGGTTGCTATTTGTGGGTCTACAAAGTGAGTTCAGGACAGCCAAGACTGCACAAAGAAACCCTGTCTTGAAAAAAACAAGAAAATAATCAAAAGAGAAATAAACACCAACTTTGCTTCATTAAAACAAACAAACAAAAACCCCAAATCGAACACCCACTCAAGGTTGCCCATGCCTTTACTCCAAACGCTCAAGGGATTAAAAAGGGCCAGCCTGGTTTATAAAACGAGTCCAGGACAGCCAGGGCTATTACACAGATAAACCATGTGCCAAAACAAACAAACAAAAACCTATGTAGTGAAACAAATTCCTAGTGTATTTGTCATTAAATATACTTCTTAACACCACAGCTAATCATTAAGCCTTTTAGAATCCTTACTGAAAGAAGCTGTAGATTGATCTTGCATCTTGATTGGAATATGAGCCATCTTTTTTAGATTAGGGAACAATCACTTTGTACAGTGCTTCCTAAGCACATTGAACAGTTAAGACTGGTGATTAGATTTGGTTTTGAATGAAGGTTTTTAGTTTGTATGTGCATATATGTTTTACATATTTTTAACTTAGATGTTTTGAATATAAAATTAATGCTGAGAAATCTAAACTAGGGGCTGGAAAGATGGGTCAGCAGTTCAGAGCACTTGTTGCTCTTACAGAGGACTTGAGTTTGTAACTCCAGTTCCAGAGAATGCAAGATCTTCTGACTTCCTTGGGTACAGCACACATGTGGTGCACAAACATACTTTTGGGCAAACATCCATGTAAAATGTACTTTAAAAAGGAAACTATATATAATACAACTTGAGAAATGTTAAACATGATTATATATTCAAGTGGCCGTTAAGGTATGTCTAGTAACCTGAATGTTCAGTTGAGCCACCTATTTTACCACATAGTATTCAAGAAGACTTTATTTATTTTGAAAGGTATTACAACATAGCTCAGGCTGGCCTTGAATGTGTAATATGTCTGCCCCTACCTCCTGAGTGGTGGGGTTACAGGTGTGCAGCAGTGTGCTCTTATTTTTGCTATAACTAGAAAAAAGTTGAGTAAAAATCAGTTTCTTCTTCAGTCAAGATTTTGTCTCTATCAACAAGATATTCATGTAAATAAATCTCCAAATGACTTATATGACTAGTTGATGTACATAATTTTGTGTGATGGGGAAACCTTGCATTAAGAGTTGAGTCTCAGGGGATACAAAGTGAATAAAGTGTAATTAATAAAGAAAAAAAAAAGGATTAAAAGAAGAAAAAAAAAAGAGTTGAGTCTCAAAAAAAAAAAAGAGTTGAGTCTCATGAGTTGCTCTGAACTTGGCAGGTGCATTTCATTTTCAGTTCCAAGTGTAACACAGTCTTGCTTTCCTTGTTTTTTAGGCTCACATTGTCCTTGAAGTACCTCCCTATCATAACCCAGCAGTTACAGCTGCAGTGCAGGTGCACTTTTATCTTTGCAATGGCAAGAGGAAAAAAAGCCAGTCTCAACGTTTTACTTACACACCAGGTACAATAAGTTGTGATGGTTTAGAGGTTTTTTCACAATAAGAATCTTGTATTCAAATGTTTAATTAATGCCAACATACTCTTTTTGTTGTTTTTGTTTTGGGGGACATCGGTTTCTCTGTCCTGGAACTTTCCCTGTATACTGGGTTGGCCTCTAACTTAGAAATCTGCCTGCCTCTGCCTCCCAAGTGCTGGGATGAAAGACATACACCACCACTGCCTGGCTCCAATATATTCTTAAAACTCATATTGACTTTAAATATTCGATTAGAAAATGAAATATAAATTTGAATTTTTGTCAGAAGTTTGTCAGAAATCACCAGCACTATAAGAAGGGAAAGTGTGTGTACTCTTGGGTAGTGAACTTCCATTATGCTTTTAACACCAAAGAAAGGTAGTATGCTCACGTCATGGTGTCTTCATTACTTTTTCTAAGACAGGCTCTCTCTTTGTAGTTTTGACTGTCCTAGAACAACTTCTGTAGACCAAGTTAATCGAAAACTCAGAGATCCATCTGCCTCCACCTCCCAAGTGCTGGGATTAAAGGTGTGTGCCACCAAGGCCGGCTTATTCTTGCCCTTCATGTATCATAGAATTTTATAAGATGTAACATGTAACACGGAGGTGACATGATATTCAGGGATTGGGATGTAGCTGGTGTTGGAGTTTTTTTCTAGCATGTGCTAGCGTGGGTTCTATCCCCAGAACCATCTGGTACTTTCTGTAATTAATCCAAGCACTTTGGAGGCAGAGGTAGGAAGATAATAAGTTTCTAGTATGCTTGGTGTGCTTGGCAAGTGGTAGGCCATTTTGTGCCAATGAATAGTTTATGGGTTTGTTGTTGTGTTGTTTTTAATTCATAACTGTGAAGAGTTAGATTTATATGTCAGGAGCCCATCAGTGATGGTTAAGAATATCAAGTTTCTGCCTGGTAGAAGCAGGTGGATTTCTGTGAATTTGAGGACAGCCTAGTCTACAGAATGAGTTTCAGAACAACCAGAACTACACGAGACCCTTTCTCAAAACAAAAAAGAATATCAAGTTTCTGTGGAAGGTGAAAAGAAATAAGATTTTAAAACATAGAGGTTGAAGCCAGGCATAATGGTACATCTGTGTAATGACAATAGACAATACTCAGAAAGTAAGACAGGTAAGAATACCATGTAATGAGACCATGTTTTAATCAAACTGGATGTTGGAATGGACTGAAGGGGATAATGACTTTGATTCCCATACTGACAAATTTATAGGTCCCAGCTCTCCTGGTTTTTTTACTTTTAGGGTGTGAATTTGTTGTTGTTGTTGTTGGTGGTGGTGGTTCGTTAGTTAGAGGGGGTGTTGCTTCCTGGGTGCTGAGATTAAAAGCATGCACACCATGCTCACTGTGTAGCCTCCTGATGCTGCACTCAGATGTTAAAGTACTATTGTGATGAAACTCATCTCTGTTCTGAGTAAGAAAGAATGCTTTTGTAATTCAAAAAAAAAATCACTATGGTCAGCCAATTAGAGGTGTTGATTACTACCTAAAATTGGTGGTAATTAAAGGCAGAAGCAAACAGGGGAGGCTGTGCTGCTTTCATACTACCATCTCATGAATTGGGAAGACACTATAAAGATGCAATCCTGTTGGCATTACATATCAAAATGAAAATCAGTAGAGTCCCAGGATGGAGAAGACCATTGGATTGGACTGTAGCTATAACCAAGCCTCAGGCTCCCAATTTGCTGTGTAGCATGCACAGGACTTCAACTTTAGATTCTCCTTTCTCTACCTCCTAAATCCTGGGATTACAGGCATGCACCACCACATTCAGCTGCTTTGTCTCCTTTTTAGTTCACAGTAAGCAACTAGTTACATAACCAAGGTTTCTGCTTATCAGAAAGGGATGAGAGTAATAGCCAGCCTGCCTGCCTTCTCTCTTTCCTCCCCTCTTTTCCTTTTCCTAGCTTCCTTTTTTCCTTCCTTTAAAATACGTTTTTTGTTTGTTTCCAAAACTGCCTTGGAACTCACTTTGGTGAAAGAAATCTAGGCTGGCCTTAGCATTCAGTGTGCTGGGATACAGACCCTGGATTCTTATGCCTTAGCATTCAGTGTGCTGGGATACACTACCAGTTTTCTTTTTCACTTTTGAGCCAAGTTGGTCAGGCAGGTCTTGAACCTACCAGTCTTCTCTTCTAGCCTCTTCTGTTAGTTGGGATTGCAGGCATGTCTAAGAGTAGGCTTTCTTCACTAGTCACTCTTTTTATATAGAAGTATGTTTCTGGGCTTAGGATTTAGTGCAACTTTCCTGAGACTAAAGTAGTTGCTGAATTAGAATTGGGGGCAGTTTAGTGGTCTAATGACACATTTTTAGTTTGACAAGTCTGAAAAGTTAGTATATGTCAGGTATGTATGGTGGTGCCTTTAATTCCTACACTTGGGAGACAGGTATAGGTGAATCTCAGAGCTCCTGGCCTGCCTGGAAGATTGTTGATAACATTTCTGTTTTTGTTGTCTTGTTGGTAGTGGGCTCACCAGTTACCAGGCTTAGAGGGACTATTCTGTTTTTGTTAGAAAGTTAAAGTAAAACATAAAATTCAGGTGTATCCTACAAACGTGTCAGCACATAGGGATCTGCCCGTCTCTGCCTTCCAAGTGTGTGTGTGCACACTTGCTTGCTTGCGTGCTTGTTTATTTATTTGCTTGTTTATGGTAAGGCACAGGATCAGGACTCAGTTCCTGTTGTGAATGTAACTATCCCAGAACAAAAGATCCAAAATTAGATTTCAACTAATAAGTGACTTTGAATACAAAATTAACCTTCCAGCACTTTGATTTCCTCATAGTACATTTGGGACTGACCTCAGACTGAGAACATTGTATAAAGAGACTTAAACTAGACAGGAATTTGAATTTGGTACATAGATGAGATTTGACCTATCTTAGGTCTTTCTCTCTCTTTTTTTTTTTTTTTTTCTTTTCAGATTTATTTTGGGCTGGGGTGGTGGCAGATACTAGCACAAAGGAAGCAGAAACATAGTAGATGCTATGAACTACATAGTGAAACCTTGTCTCAAACAAAAACAAATAAAGATTTATTTTTATTTTATGTGTATATATGTGCATGCCTGCTGTCAGTGGAACTAGGAAGAGGGCATCAGATCCCCTGGAGCTAGAGCTACGGATTATTATGAGTCTCCATGTAGGTAGTAGGAACCTAGGTTCTCAGCTCTTAACTCCATTTCTCCAGCTTTTTACCTTTGTTGTTTTGTTTTTCAAGACTGGATTTCTCTGTGTTGCCTTGGCTGTCCTGTACTCTGTAAAACAGGCTGGCCTTGAACTCACAGCCTCTGCTGGATTACAGGTGTGCACCACTGCTCCCGGCAACTTTTTATCTTATTTTAATAGTAAATGTAATATTTTGTAGTAGTCTTGAAATTTTTTAATTTTAAAATTTTTATTTAGTGTTCGTGTGTATGAGTATTTTGACTGCATGTGTATCTGTACATCACTTGTATATAGTGTCTGAGGAGGCCAGAGAATAGAGTATTGAATTCCCTGGGACTGGAGTTAAAGATGGGGTTGTGGGTTAAGAGCACTGGCTGTTTGTCCAGAGAATCTGTGTTCATTTCCCAGCACATAAATGGCAGTTTACAAGTGTTTGTGAATCCATTTCTAAGGGTTCTTGCACTGTCATCACAGTGCACATAAAAATAAAACTTTAAAAAGGCTCTTGTAAACCACCATGTGGGTCCTGGTAATCGAATCTCAGTTTCCTAAAAGAACAGCTAGTACTCTTAATCAGGGAGCCTTCACTCTAGCTCTGTGAGATTAATTTAAACTGTTTACTCATTTTTGAGGGAGAGTCTTAATTGTATAGTTTAGGCTGGCCTAAGAACTGAAATCTTTGGTCTCTTAAGAACTAGGGTTATAGTTGTGAACTATCATACTTGGCTATGGAATTGATTTTTATATTATTTACAGTAACTACATGAAATAATTTTTTAATGTTAGTTTTTTTTATTAGTGTTGTTGTTTTTTAAGGCAGATTTATCTGTGTAAACCCTAGCTATGTTGGAACATGCTCTGTAGACAAGGCTGGCCTAGAAATGAGAGATCTACCTGCCTCTGCCTCCTGAGTGTTGGGATTAAAGGCGTGTGCCACCGAGCCTGGCTTTATGTGTTGGTTTTATGTACTGCAACTTTGTTGTATTTATTTTTTGGCTTCTTTTGGATTTTGGTACTTTTTCTTTTTTACATTATTTTTTGCTGTTTTTTGGTTTGGTTTGGGTTCCCTTAGATAGAAACTAGATAACCCAGGCTGCTCTCCTGCTAATGCTGGGATTACAGGTGTGTGCTACCTTATCTGTTTTTCATCTTTTTTCTTGTTAGTCCCAAGCTGGTAGAGAATCAAACCTACCATATGAGAGGTAGTTTTAGATTGGGAATCCTAGATTCAGTGCTTATAAAGGCCATAGGATCATTTTTTTTTTGTGGTTTTTCTCGTTGTTTTTACATTTAGCAATCTCTATTTTTTAATTATGTTTTAAACATTTCTCATGTATACGTGCACATGTGCAAATGAGTATTTTATGTGAGTCATAAGCACCTTGCTTGTTGTGGCCTTGTGTAGCTCAGAACCTGCTGTGTATACCAGGCTGACCTTGAACTTAGAGATCTGCTTGCCTCTGCCCCAGGAGTATTGGTATTAAAGGTGTGTGTGTGTGACTATGCTTGGGTCTGTCTGTTTGTTTTTAAATGTTTTTGAATGATAATATATACATAAAACATTTACATGAAAAACATGTAAAAAGCATAAAAAGGACTAGTGAGCTGGCTACTAGAGGCTTTGCCTACTAGTAGTATGTAAAGGCACTTAGTGCTAAGTCTGATGACCTGAGTTTGCTCCTTAGGATCTGCATGATAAAAGGAGAGGACTAACTCTCACAAGCTGTACTCTGACCTCCACACATGTGCCTGGCAGATATATGCACTCACATAGATTGAATGAATGAATGTAATTTTTTTAAGCCAAGAATATTTGTATGTATGTATATAAGTACATATATGTATATGCACACATAAATAAAACACTTTACATAAATTTCTTTCTCTAAAGACATTGAGTTTATCCCCATATGTTATATACCCTAGAATTAAGAATTGTTTATATCATAATCATTTTGTAAGCTACATAATATTTGTCTTAATTTTTTATTTCAGTTTTGATGAAGCAAGAACAAAGAGAAGATACTGATTTGTCTTCAGTTCCATCCTTACCTGTGCCTCATTCTGCCCAGACCCAGAGGCCTTCCTCAGATACAGGGCACCCACATGACAGTGTATTGCCAGCACCGAGAAGCTTGATTTGTCCAATCCAGCCAACATATGCATCTATGATAACCTCATCCCATTTGCCACAGTTGCAGTGTAGGGATGAGGATGCTGGTAAAGAACAGCATATAATACCATCTTCTGTCATGCACCAGCCTTTTCATGTTACGTCAACGTCTCCTATGGGGTCTTCCTATCAGTCTATACATACTAATGTGTATAATGGACCAACTTGTCTTCCCATGAATCCTGCCTCTAGTCAAGAATTTGATCCAGTTTTGTTTCAGCAGGATGCAGCTCTTTCTACTTTAGTAAATCTTGGCTGTCAACCACTGTCACCAATACCATTTCATTCTTCAAAGTCAGATGCAACAGGACATCTCTTAGCACATTCAGCTCATTCTGTGCAAACCCCACCTCATCTGCAGTCAGTGGGATACCATTGTTCAAACACAGGACAAAGATCTCTTTCTTCTCCAGTGGCAGACCAGGTCACAGGTCAGCCTTCTTCTCATTTACAGCCTCTTACATACTGTTCTTCACATCCAGGATCTGCTACAGCAGCTTCCCCAACAGCCTCTCATCCCCTGGCTAGTTCACCGCTTTCTGGGCCATCATCCCCTCAGCTGCAGTCTATGCCTTATCAATCTCCTAGCTCAGGAACTGCCTCATCACCATCTCCAGATAGCAGAGTGCATTCTGGACAACACTCTACTCAAGCACAAAGTACAGGCCAAGGAGGTCTTTCTGCACCTTCATCCTTAGTATGTCACAGTTTATGTGACCCAGCATCATTTCCACCTGGTGGTGCAGCTGTGAGCATTAAGCCTGAACCTGAAGATCAGGAACCTAACTTTGCAACCATTGGTCTACAGGATATCACTTTAGATGATGGTAAGTCCCATCTCCTCCCCACTTCCCTCAACTACCCCTTAGTTGTATGTATGTGTATGTTTATGTATTTTGAGTTAGACTGGCCTTGAACTTACTGTATAGTGAAGGGTGATCTAAACTTCTGAACCTCCTAAGTGCTAAGATTACAAATATGTCCCACCAGACCTATGAAGTATCAGGGATTGAACCCTAGGGCTTGGGGTCAAGGGTTTTTTTCTTGCAGAACCAAAACTCAGTGTATAGCTCAGGCTGACTTCAATTATATGGTGGTGATTCTTCTACCTCAGCCTCTTGAATGCTGAGATGACAAGAGTTAGCCACCACATAGGTTACCTGTACTGTCATATAATTGAAGTTATCTGTAACTACCATCTAATGAAAATCCTAAAGATTCTGAAACTGGATATAGAATTTTAGTTTTTTCTTTAATATTAATCTGTCATTGGGAAATAATTCAAGATTAACTGTCACCTGTAACAGGCACTAAATCCATTCCTTAATGAAAAGTTGTCATGAAATGTCATTGGGGTGGAGTGATGTCTCAGGGGTTAAGAGCACTTGCTGTTCTTCCAGAGTTTGATTCCCAGCACCCACATGTTGGTTCATAACCAGTTCATAACTCCAGTCCCAGATTTCCAATGCCTTCTTCTGGTTTCATGGGTACTGCATGTGGTGCAGAGACATACATGCGGACAAAATACTCAAACACATGTAAAAAATTTTAATGTAAAGTCCTAAGCACAAAGGGCAAAGAAGACAAATAATATATATCTTATAAGCTTCTGGGCCCTTCTAGTCATACCTAGTACCTGACTAATAGTCTATATGATACAGGCAGTCAGAGTTACTATAATCAAAGTATGAAAGATCCATCCTAGCAGAGATCTGTATGACAGATTTCATAGGAAGGATTTGTTTCACCAGTCAGTGACGTTTGAGTGGGTTTTGGAAGATGAATATATGTTTTCAGTAAATTCAAATCAATGGAAAACTAAAATAGTAAAAATAGAGAGGTTTGCTAGGGAGAGCAGACTTTTTAGCAGGGGAACAAATGATACAGAGGATAGAGCTACAAGTAGTATAGTTTTCAGAGACATGAGGAGGATATTCCAGGTCTTTGTTGTAAACCTAAAATGTATATGTAAACTAGAGCAACTCAAAATAGCATCTTCCTATTTTTATCTAATCCAACCCTTACCATCCACTATTTCTGAGTAGGTGGTAACGTTTATAGCGTTGGACTTCCCAAGTGTGGCACCAGTTGTAGATACTGCAGTCCAGCTGAGGCTGGGTTCAGATTTGTTATTCTAGGCTTAGCTCTTGCACCACTACAGCTGCTCTTCAATATGGTATGGATGGTAAGAGCTCTTTGCTAAAGGTATCTGTAGAAGGGGTTAGGTTTGTGTTCTTTTGTTTTAAGACAAGCCCTTACTAGATAGCCCAACCTGGCTTTCCTCAGCTTCATAGAGGATGGCCAGCCTGGGCTTCGTGTTGAGATTCTATTATAAAACTGGACTAGTGGTTTCAGAGCTTTAATTTGTGATTGAGCTAACTAAATTGTTGCAGCTTTCCATTAGAGTTTCCCTCCCACTTGTTTTCCGTTGTTATTAGACTAGCAGTTCAACTTGCTGCTGTGTTGAAAACTGCCACTGCCAACTTGTTGGCTCTATGCAGCAACATGTTGATCTTGAATGTAGGTCAGTTGCAGATTTGACAGTTAACAATCCAGATATTACCTCAGCTGCTTCAGCTCTGTATGTAAATGTTAAGTAGGTGCTAGCCAGGCACAGTGGTGCACACCTGTAATCCTAGCACTTGGGGAGGCAGAGGCAGCAGATCTCTGAGTCAAGTCCAACCTGGTCTGTAAAGTGAGTCCAGGACAGCCAGGGCTACACAGAGAAACCTTCACTCAAAAAAACCAAAAGAAATCAGGCACTTTCTGGTTTTGATTTCCCTTGGTTTTTTGTTTGTTTGTTTTGTTTTGTTTTGTTTTTTAAATAAAGAGCCTTGCTTAGAGCCTTGGCTTATCTTCAATTCATAACTGTCATATCTTTGGCTCCCAAATGCTGGAATTATAGATGTCTGCCACAATGCCTGCCTTTTAAAAACAAAGGAATAATAAACATGAGATTCACGTGGTTGCTTGACAGGGGTGGAGAAGCCAATTATGGAGGATGAGTAGAGAGGTAAATATGTTAGTGTTTTGGTACATTTATTGTTCCTATATAAATATTTTATTGCATTTTTATTTATTTTGTGTGTATGTGTGTAGGCAAGAGAGAGCCTGGAAATGACTGTAGAGGTCAGAGGACAATTTATAGGAGTTAGTTCTCTTTGAACCATATGGGTTCCAAAATCAAATTCTGCAGGTACCTTTAACCTCTGAGCCATCTTGCTGGACCTAGACAGTTATATAAAGGAAACCATATATAGCCAGTAGGGAGAGGACATGATCAATGAGATATATAATTACTCCACTTTATGGGACCTAGGGGATATAGGAAGGTATATAATACTTTTCCTTTTACTGGAATACTGGGATCTCCTGTTGTCTACATACATGTATCATCAGCCTTCAGACGTATTTATGATGAAGATTTTCAAAAGTTTAAGTAATAAAGAATGCTTATGTAGACTTGGATTGTAGCAAAGGATTGAGGACCTTAAGATTCTACTGCCCTGGGATACGCAGTAAGAAAAATCACTTTAAACTGCGTGTGGTGGTGTATCCCCTTAATCCCAGTGTTTGGGAGGAAGAAGCAGAAGGATCTCTGCTAGCCTGGTTTATTAGATAGTGAGCTGCGGGACAGCTAGAGCTTCAAAATAAAAAAAAAAAACCCTGTCTTAGAAAAGAAAAGTGATGCATGCCTTTGATCCCAGCAGAGGTAGGCAGGAAGATTTTCGTGAGTTTGAGGCCAACCTGGTCTACAAAGCAAGTCCAGGATAGCTAGGGGTATTACATAGAGAAACCCTGTCTTGCCCCCCCCCCCCAAAAAAAAAATTGATGCTTGTGGTGTCTCACATCTTGCAGAGGCAGGTAGATCTCTGAGTTTGAGGACAGCCCGAGCTATATAGTGAGAACCTTTCTCAAAAAGCCAAAACAAACAAAAAATAATTTATTTTTTGTGTATGGTATTTTTGTCTACATTTGTATCTGTATACTATACTATGTCCTTGGTTCTGCTCTCAGCTCCCCTATGACTGGAGCTACAGATGGTTGTGAGTTGCTATGTAAGTGCTTGGAATTTAACCTGGGTTCTCTGGGAAAGCAGACAGTGCTCTTAACCTCAGAGCCGTCTCTCCAAGCCCAGTTGTAATCTTTTTTGTAACAAGATATAAAGTGTAAATTATTAGGCTTATTGGTATAGACATTGATCAGAGAACTAAGCGTTTTCACAGTACTGTGTGACTACAATATTATGACTGGACTTTGAATTCAGCTTTGTATGAAACTTAAATACTCTTGCATGTGTTAAGTAGTTTCTAAAACACCTGGACTCTGTAAACATAACAATAGTAAAGTCTGCTCTGAGTAAGACAGCAAATCCAGCTTTTTATAGATATGTTATTCTATTTTATAATTTGTGTTCTCTTTTCAAGCTATCTTGGAAGACGGATTTGTTTATTTTTTGAGATAGGGTTTCTCTTTGTGTAGCCCTGGTTGTCTTGGAACTCACTCTGTAAACTAGGCTGGCTTCGAACTTACAGAGATCCACCTGCCTCTGCCTTTCATAGTGGTGGGAATCAAGCCACCACCGCCAGGCTTGAAGATAGATTATTACTAGGGTCAAAAGTTTTGTTTTGGGAGCTGGTTCTTCTATTCTTATGCCCTTTGGTAATATTTTCTGCACCTTGGAAGGGATGGTTTAGATACCTCATTTAGAGGGCTGGAGAGATTACTCAGGATAAAAGCATTAACTGTTCTTGCAGAGTACCCCAGTTCAATTATCAGTACCCACCTGACAGCTGACAACCACCTGTATGTAACTTTAGTTGGAGAGGACCTGATGCCCTCTTCTGGTCTCCTGGAGCACTGCATGCATGTGATGCATAGACATACATTCAGGCAAACAGTCGTACACGTAGAAAAAATCTTAAAAAAAGATAAATATCTCATTTACAGCTGAGTTACAGTTACAACAGTAACTTATTCTCTGTATTTCAATGGGTTATGAGTTATGAGTCATCCCCCCCAAATAAAAGGAATGTTTTAACAATTGTAAGGGATTGAAGTCTGAAAGTTCTTAAATTTTCTCAATATTAGCAGGAGAAACCAATCTTTTACTTTTCTCAGATGTGCCAACATAATTGGCCTCACCTTCACTAACATTACAGTGAATGTTAGGAGAAAATTAGGAGAAAACCACCTAGTTCTCAATTCTCTTAATTTGCAGGGTTGTAGCCCATCCCAAGTAGTTGAACAGAGCTCATTGGGACTCCAGGTGGTTAGAGCAGTACCCTTGAAAACAGGACTCATAAACAGGTTCAAGAGGATGTGTGTCTAAGCCACTGGGTTTAAAAGCATAGGATCAATAGGCCTCTCCCCTGGCTGTTTCTGTTTGCATGGATACCAGACACCAGACACCAGGGTAGCATTTAAAGCCATCCCGATTTATTTCCTTTGGCTACATGCTTCTTCCATCTGTGCTTTCCCAGTCCCTGCTTTTGGCCACCTTCCTGTCCTCCAGTGCACAGCCACTGTAGTGCTGAGGTTACCACCAGGCTCTGGAGATATAGGCCACTGAAAGGCCTACTCACGTAGCCCACACAACTACCACCCAGAGTGTGTTTGTAGCTTGCAGCACTATTTGTTTTTTTTTTTTTTTTTTTTTTTTTTTTTTTTGCTTAATGTAACAGGAAAGCAATTAAACCCAAAGCAAAAATGGGAACTTGCTCTACTCCTCAACCCCTCTCATTTCTTTCTAAAGTAGCCAAACTTACTGTCTTTTCCTCAAGAAACCAAGGGCATGTCTCCTAAACACAGTCTAAGAAGCTGCAGT